ATGGCAGACCATGGGAAACTACTATACATGTGAAGAGTATTTTGGGCATAGTGGAATAAAAATTATGTATAAAATATAATGACACTGTTACTGCTTGGTATAGAGCTACTAAAAATTTTAAATTACATATTTTGTGGTTTACATGTTATTTTTAGCAAATGGCACTAATCTAGCTAATGGCAATAAGACAGGAAAAAAACAAAAAGTATAATTGTAAATGAAGGTGCAAAACTGGCTTTCTCTGCAGACATTGTCATCATGTTTGAAGAAAATCCTAAGGAATCTACATAGAAGCTTCTAGAACTAAAAAGTGAATTTAGTGGGAGAATACAAATTTAATATAGAAAAGAATCCACTTTATTTTTATAGACTATGAACAATTTGGAAAAATTTTTTAAATACAATATCACTGAAAATAGCATAAAAAAGCATGAAATACTTTGTGATAAACTGAAAATGTGAAAGACCTACAGATGAAGAAAGACAAATACCATATGACTTTGCATATTCCTATAATCTAAAAACAAAACAAAACATGGAACACAATAGCGAACCCAGATATAAACACAAGCATATATGGTCAATTAATATATGATAAAGGAGCCATGGATATACAATGGATAAATGAAAGCCTCTTCAACAACTGGTGTTGACAAAACTGGACAGCTACATGTAAGAGAATGAAACTCAATTATTGTCTAACCCCATACATAAAAGTAAACTCGAAATGGATCAAACACCTGAATGTAAGTCATGAAACCATAAAACTCTTAGAAGACAACATAGGCAAAAATCTCCTGAATATAATCATGAGCAACTTTTTTCTGAACGCATCTCCTTGATAAGGGAAACAAAGCAAAAATGAACAAATGGGATTACATCAAGCTATAAACCTTCTTTACAGCAAAGGACACCATCAGTAGAACAAAAAAGGCATCATACAGTATGGAAGAATATACTCGTAAATGACAGATCCGACAAGGGGTTAACATCCAAAATATATTAAGAACTCACAAGCCTCAACACCCAAAAAGCAAATAACCTGATTAAAAAATGGGTGGAGGATATGAACAGACACTTCTCCAAAGAAGAAATTCAGATGGCCAACAGGCTCATGAAAAGATGCTCCTCATAGCTAATTATCAGAGAAATGCAAATAAAAACCATAATGAGATATCACCTCACACCAGTAAGGATGGCCACCATCCAAAAGACCAACAACAACAAATGCTGGCGAGGATGAGGAGAAAGGGGAACCCTCCTATACTGCTGGTGGGAATGTAAATTAGTTCAACCATTGTGGAAGCAGCATGGAGGTTCCTCAAAAAACTAAAAATAGAAATACCATTTGACTCAGGAATTCCACTCCTAGGAATTTATCCTAAGAATGCAGGAGCCCAGTTTGAAAAAGACATATACATCCCTATGTTTATCACAGCACTATTTACAATAGCCAAGAAATGAAGCAACCGAAGTGTCCATCTGTGGATTAATAGATAAAGAAGGTGTGGTACAGATACACAATGTAATATTCAGCCATAAAAAGAAAACAAAGCCTACCATTTGCAACAACATGTATGGAGCTAGAGGGTATTATGCTCAGTGAAACAAGTCAGGCGGAGAAAGAGAAGTACCAAATGACGTCCCTCATTTGTGGAGTATAATAACGAAGCAAAACTGAAGGAACAAAACAGCAGCACACTCACAGACTCCCAGAAGGGACTGGCGGTTACCAAAGGTGGGTGGTAGGGGAGGGGTGGGGGAGGGTGGAGGGGGTTGAGGAGTATTGATTGGTACAGATGGTGTAGGGGGGTGGTCACAAGGAAGACAGTGCAGTGCGGAGAAGACAAGTAATGACTGTGGCATCTTGCTGCACTGATGGACGATGACTTCAATGGGGTACAGGGAGGAGCTTGATGATACGAGTGAATGTAGTAACCACAATGTTTTTTATGTGAAACCTTCATAAGAGTATATCAGTGATACCTTAATAAAAAAAAGAACAAAATAGCAGCAGACTCATAGATACTGTGAAGTGACTGGTGGTTACCACAGGGGAGGGGTTAGGGTGGGTGAGCACGGAAAGTGAGTCGGGATAAAGGGGCACAAAAATTCTCAATCATAGTGTTAGTCATGGGGATAGTAGTACAGCATGGAGGACATAGTCAATGATTCTATAAGATCTTCCTTATTGACAGACAGTAACTGCACTAGTCAGGGAGAGGATTTAATAATGTAGGTAACTGATGAAACACTGTATGGTATACTTGAAACCAATATAAGATTGTAAATCAACCACACTTCAATAACAAAAAAAATGTGAAAGATCTATAAAATAAAAATTACAAAACTGCAGGAAAAAACTGAAGAGATCTCAATAAATGGAGAGATGTAGCATGTTTAAGTATTGGAAGACTCAGTATTATTAAGATGTCAATTTTCCCCAGGAGGCTTTTTGTAGAAACTGAGAAGCTTATTCTACAATTTATATGAAAATGCTAAGGATCTAGAATAACCAAAAAAATTTTTTAAAAAAAGAGCATACACTATCTGAATGCAAGTCTTGCTATAAAGAAATAGTAATAAAGCTGATACTGTATTGTTTTAAGGACAGACATATTGACCAATGGAACAGAAAAAGAGACTAGAAATAGACCCACAACTACAAAAAATAAGGAGTCAGATTGCATATAACCTCCAAGCTAGTAAACGGAACAAAAAGGAAGGAAGGAAATAAAGAAAATAAATTCTACAGAATAAAATAATAAGTTGCTATGATAATAACTGCTCTCCCTAACTAAGTGTAATCAGGAAAGATCTCTCGGAGAAACTGACATGTAAATGTAACAGTATATACAAGAGCTCTAAGGGAAAAAGCCCTGAAAGTAGGTTGGTGTGACAGGTGCACAGTAGGCAAGGGAAAGACAAGATTAAAGAGAGGGCTTTCTCCACTTTTTCCATCCTTACCATTGTTCTCAGTTCTAACCTACATACCTTTAAGACCTTCTAGCTGATGAACCTGCAGCCATTCAAGCTGCTCTCCCAATCCCTTCACAATTGAGCTAAAAGATATTTAACAGGTTAAAAATCATTAAATGACTCCCTGCTCCCTACAATGTATGGTCTTAATTTCTTACACAGACAAATTTTAAGACTGTTTAAAATGACAGTTATGTGAACATTAACCACAGATTTGTATATTATACTTATCACTATATTATACATATACAATAGAATTAGAGTAAGGAAAATTGTAAATATACAGTAAGAATTAACATTTTTTCTTTTTGAATTTCTTTTAATCATTTTGTATTCTACAATAAAGTTTTCAAATACCATCTTTTAGCTCTATTACACTTAGTTACACATATTACATACTGACATAAATAGAAAATCTTTTTTAAGTTTATAACCTATCCAACGTCTTCCCACAAAAGTTTTAAATTTCAATAATAAAATTATCTGACCTTGACATTTCCCAGTCTGATGTTAAAGACTTGCCATTTTACATCAGCTGTACTATATGTAAAACTCTTTGCCAAGTTTAACTCATATAAAGGAACCTCCAATTCCTCCAATCCCATCACTACAAGTCTGTCAAGCTGAAAAACTACAAGGGGTGCAACTTGTGGCACCAGCACAGAGAGGACAAAATTTTAATTCATATATTATGAAAGCTTATTTGCCTTTACTACCTAAGTTTTAGCAAGCATATCATACTGGAAATACAAATTATAACAGAAATTGTTTTGCAAATAAGGACCAAATTAGACAACCTGTCTGACTCAGCAGCTTTCTTTTTCCCTTTACAACCTGAACTTAATTTCCAAGGATAAGACTGAAACATAAGTTTCAAACTGAACAGCAAAGCCAATGAAGAATCAGTATTTATTTTGGCGGGAAACTCCAATAAAAATTTGAGATGTTTTGATCTTGACTGGCAGATATATTAAAAGGAAAATTGCCTTGTTAGGTTATTATTTATCATGCAAAAATCCCTTGTGGATAGCTACAGATTAGCTTTTATTGCAGATACTTAACATGTTTCCTTATAGAGAGCACCTCAACCGAATAACCTTCCAAGTCTGGCACCACGAAATGTTACAGCCTACACACAACTGCAGTTCCCTGTAATTTAAAACATTTGCCTTTTAAGAAAAGCTCCACACACCAACTGTACTGCCAATTTCTTCAGTTGAAAGCTCAAATTTATACTACAAAATGCTGTATTTACTCTCAACAACAGAATGCACTCATTTGAAAGATATACAGGAGTAAATTAGTCCAATATTAAACTTGCAACATTTCTAACATCATAGCTTTTCTATTATTCAAAATAACAAGTCTAAACAGTAGCACTCCAAGTGAAGTACTATGGCAAAAGCCAACTGACATATTAATCAGTTCACCGAAATCATTAATACACAAGATCAGATCCCTAATCCTAATCAACTATTTTGCAAAATGGCCACAGGAGATACCAATGAGAGAAAAACGTGCACTGAATTTGCCATTCCTAGAAAACAGAGTCAAAGCAAGCCTATGAGAGGCAGATGATCCTTATGAATACAAATCTAAGTTTATTTCTGAGTTTCCAGACTCACACCAAGAACGCAGTTTTCCAACTTTTTAAAGTAATACAAACAATAGGGAAGAAAATGAAATACAGCATTGTGGGGTTTTTTTTATGATAATTGACCAAGAACAGATATCCTTTAATGCTCAGGGATGAAATTTTCTTTGTGCAACTAATTTTGCTCTTATGACACGTACACAGAAAATTATAAACACTCTGAATTCCAGATAGCTTAATACACGTAATCACCCCCAAATCAAATATTGAGAACTAACACTAACATTCTCCATTATCTTACTATACCCTTCACCTTCTAAACCTGAGACCAGAACAGGCGGCTTACTCCTACGGTAAATTGGGGTTTAGGGGGAACGCCTTAATACGGGTTTCCACGTAATTTAACAGGCTCAGTAAATCAACTTACCAGACTATAATGCTTGACAGTTTCTCTAAGGCCAAAACACACAGACAGCCGTGTGTTTATTACTGCAGATGACACTTTTCCTCACGTTTGCACAAGTAACTTCAGAAACTATCCTAAATTTTCCCGTGCCAAACAAACACATAAGGGGTGGGGAGTGGGGACTTCTCTTTAAAAACTAGGTCATTCCTTATTTGTTCTGACGCGGCACGGTCTTCGGGAGGGAAAAAGTCTATGAAGCAAAAAAAGGGTAAGAAAAAAAGATATGACAGCATCCTGAATGCAGACAAGTTAAAACTCTTCAAGAAGAGTCAAGATTAGAGGCTCATTCGTAGGTTTCAAGTTCCGTCACTCAGAGTTGAATGGAACCTGCCTTTCTAAAAGACATCCATCCCAATAGGGAAGCCCTGAGGATTCGCCACGGTAAGCAGAGCAGGAAGGTGCCTTCAATTCACCTGCGACACCTGCCCGGGCCCCCAGTTCTCCCCCGGCTCTGTCTCCCCACCGTTCTCAAGACCCCCAGCCCCAGCTCTCCCCCCGCTCGCCCCGACCCCGCCGGGGAATCTCTGCCCCTCCCTACCCTGCCCCCACCCAGTCGGCCGTCTCTCCGGCGGTCCTCGGGCCCAAGCCCCTGGCGCCTCCAAACGAGAGGCTCTCAGACCAGTTGGCTGCGCGGGGAAGCCCTTCCCGGCGCAGCCTCTCGCGGATCACACCCCGCAGGCTCCGGGGACTCCCCGCCCCCGGAAACCGCGGAGAAACTAGGCCAGGAATGCCAGACCCGGCCACTCTCCGCCTCCTCGGCGACCCCCCGCAGGCTGCCTTCGGAACTCAGCCCTCGAAACTGCTACCTGCCCAGCGCCCTCCCAGACCTGGAGCGCGAGTCGGGAGGAGGTGCAGCGCAGTGTTCCTCCGCAAGAGGCCCTGCGCTGAGGACTCACCTGCCGTCCGCTCCTCCTTCAGCGCCCCCGGACGCAGCTCCTTCCTGGGGCATGAAAGCGCCGCCTTCGCGGCCTGGGCGCCCTCGGCAGGGCCGGGAGGAGAACTTGCTCCGGCGGCCGCTGCCGCCGCCGCCGCCACCACGACCCGCTCTGCGCCTGCGCCGCCTCACTGGCCAGGTCTCGAGGGGCGCCGCATGCAGCAAAAGGGTAACGGCCGGGAGCGCGAGCCTGCGCGGCACCGCCGCTCTCGGGAGGGTGGCCGTGCCGGTGGCGGAACGCCTAGGAGCTGCCTGCGGCACGGCCGCCCCGACGGCACACGGCCATGTTTTCGTTCCCTTTTTCTTTCTTTTCTGCCCCTCCTTCCGCCCCTTTCCACGGAACAGCACTTTCCTTCCCCCCGTCCCTCTCCCTTTCCTACTGCGGGGGTGGGTGGAAAACGGCGTGGGGGAGGGGTGGGGAAGAGCGGGGGCGGGGCAGTGCTCTAGCTCCGCCCCTAGGCGGGGCCGAGGCCGCGCGGCCTCTGCGTACCCCCCACCATCCCGCCCGCTCCGCGACCCTCGGGAAGCGAGGGGTCTCAGCCTGCGAGCCCTTCCTCTGCGTCCCCGCATCGAGTCTCAAGCAAAAACGGAGCTGTGGAGAAAGGGCCCAGGGCGCTGCTTTGCACCCCTTCCTGCGGTGTTCAAACTCGCGGTGTGGTGTGGGTTTATTGCCTTGGCTTCAGGCAGGTGGCGGCTGCTCCTCTTGTTTCAAAGCCGAGGAGAGTGACGCGGAGTTGCTCAGAGTCAGTGAAGAGAATAACGAGAGGGATGCTTTTCTCTGGACGAGAAGTTTCCTTCCAGGGAGGGAGTTGGAATTTCCACGCATGACTGAGGGGGGCCTCCGGGGCCAGGGAGAAACCACCGCGGACTGGCGCTTCCCGAAGTCCCTGCCCGGCTGCGGCGCCCCATGAGAGTCGGCCAGCGCTCAGAGTCACTACCTTGGCGGAGATTTCAGGATGGAAATCGATTGCTTAAATAATCAGTCCTCTCCTGCCTGCTAAGTAAGTGTAGCCTCCTTGTCTGCTCGGATGCAGGCAAAGTCGTTTCGCCTTAATTCAAATTTTGCGAGATATTTTTAACAACGTTTTGAAGTCAGTATAATAATGAGAATAACAACTAGTTATTAAGCAACATCTTCCTTTCTCTATAAATTATTAAGGCTTGAAACAAATTAGAATTTTTTTTACCTTCCCTGCCCCCCCAAAAAATAGCGAGTGACTTCACCGGTTCTATTGCAGGTTAAAATTAGAACTGGTAATTGTGCATATCTGAGGACTTTTCACACATATAATGATCATTCCCTGTGAATTATAATTTTCTTAATCTGTATTTTTGCTAGAAAGTATGAGATTAAACCTTGGCCACAATGGCCCTGTTGTTAATTTACTTCTGAAGTTTATTGTGCACTGAATAATTTTAATTTTGTAGCCAATAACAGAAACTATCTTCCTAACCACATTTGCAATCAGAACTGATTCAGTAGAAATGCACAACAATGGAAATAAGGCTTATTTAGTAGTAGTTTGAAGTTTGAGCCTAGTGGAAACTAATTTTTGACATTGACAATCTGGACAGAAGTTTAAAAGGAACTCATACTTAGAAATTTAGCTTGTGGACTTCTTGTCCTTCCTTGCTAATAGTTAAAAAACATTCAATATAGACCTCAAATTAAGATTTCTGAATTGGTGAGTTTCATGAATACTCGTAGATTGAGAGTTATTTTCCTCTTTTCCTGGTTTTTTGCACCTACAGAAATGAAAAATAGAAGAAGCCAGTATAACTGTTCCATTTGACGTATTTTTCTTAATTTCCTCAATGTAGGATTTAAGAATTGCTTTAAATTTTTTCACTGGTCCTATAGGTTTACTATAGATTTTCATTGCCTTATCTACCCAAATTTCTTAGAATGAACTTGTATGTTTTGGCCTAATTTTTAGTCTAAGGTAGCTCTACTTAGTTTACTTAGTGAAAATCTTTGGTTCAGAAACCTTCTCAACCACACTCTTATGTGCCCAGGCTGAAATAAATTCGTTTTGATTTTTAGCATACAAATATTTGACTACCTAAAAAGTGGGAAGGGAGCTGGAGATCCCACTGACAACATAATTGTTACAATCATTATAGTATCAGTTTCAGTTGAGTCTGTAGACAAGAATGCATAGGAGAATTGCTCAGTCCATTGGAGAGGGGAATACTGACATCTTAACTAGGCGTGGAAGCTGCAGATTTTTGTGGATCAGCAATTAAAAAGAGCTAAATAGAACTTCTGAAATAAGACCAAGTTATTTTTTTGCAGCAATCTTCAATGCAGCAGCGTGCCACATAATTTTATCTTATTGGTTTTCTTCAAAAACTTCTAAACATTACTTTTCACAGGAATACTCAAAGACCTTTATACTTCTTTACTTCTTTTTGTTTTATTCAACTCCATGTTTAACAAACATTATAAATCTAGTCGTTTAATATGATTATTGTAATTTTTTTTAATTTTTAATGTCTAAATTCCATGCTAGAATGTAAACCCTGTTAGAGCAGGGTTCAAAAATGTGCCATATGTATATTCACATGTCATATGCTCTTCCAGATCCCCAGTACCTAGCAAAATAACCAATGTATGATAGGCTCTCAAAAAGTATTTGATGAGTGACTAAAATTAATCAGTTTATGGTTCCCTCACTTCTACTTCCTCCTTAAGCAAGTTACTTAATTTTCCTCATCTGTAAAGCGGGTAGAGTGATATTCAAAGAAATAAGATCATTTATTAATTTAGAGTAGGCTTTAACTACCAAAGGGACCATTCAGTAATCTACTTTAGCACATGTTACAGGCAGCCTCTCTTTATAGCTTACAATAATCCCTGCCTCCTAGTTCATGACCTTGTGTAATCCCCTTCTATTGAGTGAGGGTTGGACTTACTGACTCGCTTCTGGTACAAATACATCAGAAGTAATGAGATCGCCCTAACAAAATGAGTTTATAAGAAAGACTGTGGCTTCAGTCTTGGATTCTCTGTCTCCTCTCAGATTGCTTACTCTGGGGAAGCCAGCTACCATATCATGAAGCAGCCCTGTGAGTTCAGAAGTAGGTATTCACCAGGTTGAGCCTTGAGATGACTGCAGCCACACCAACACCTCAGTTGCAGCCTCCTGACAGAGGCTGAGCCTGAATCACCCAGCTAAACTGCTCTTGCATTCTTTAGTCACAGAAGCTATGAGATAATAAATGTTTCTGGTTTCCAGCTGCAAAATTCGGGAGTAATTTGTTACATAACAATAGATAACTAATGCAGCACAATAATACTTGGAAGAGCAAGCGTTCATTAATACATAGTGTATAACTGGGTTCAGCATTTGATACTTAGCACCCTATAATGCTGAGTTTAATGGTAGTGTTCACGATTGCAGTAAGAGAAGGTATCCAGGAGAAATGGAAAGACTGACTTTGTCTGATCTGTTATTTATAAACTATCTTTGCTCCAAGAGAATTTACTAAAGTGTATTTCATATACTGTCCAGGATTTACTTCAAAAAAAATGCATTAGGGATGGGAGAGTAAGTAGAGGTTTAGGTAAAACAAAATTGTGCATATGTTGAAGTGAAGTGATTGATACTTGGCAGGTTCCCTATGTTCTCTACTTTTTCTGTCTTTTTGAAATTTTCCCTTAAAAAAAAAGTTGTTTTAAGTATTTCATGGAATCATAAATTTGGAGCTGAGGGAAATTTTTATTAGAGATCATCCATTCTAATTCATTTGATAGATGGGGAAACTAAGGCCTAGCAGCATTTATTGGCTTACCTAGAGTCTCCCAGTCTCAGTTTTGGTGATTTCATAGTTTAGTATTAAGAAGAAACTACTAAATTCATAGCTCTTCATTTTCCTAAGCAGAATAACTGGCTTCAGATTGCCTAGGATAGCCTTCACAGAATAAAAATCCAAGCCTGATCTCTGCTTGCCACGTATATTTCACACGGTGTAGACTGGCATGTTTTTTGGTTCCAGCACCTCACTCATCACATTTCAGAAACATAGAATTTTGAAAACATAGAAGATCGGAAGCCTGGTGCTTCACACCCGTAGGAACTCCTAATTTTAGAGAGAGTTTTAAGTAAAAATGACATCAGCAAACACTAGATCTGCTTTATTCATAGTGATATCTGAATGCCGCAGTGTGTCCTGCTCTCCACAGGGAGTATTAGAACACTCGTCTCTTTGTGCACCGCTCTGGTATCTTATCTGGCTAAGGACTCTGTCTCAGCAGTATCAGAATGGGCCCATCTAGAGTCTTCTGGAGTTACTCAGCACATTCTTTATCCAGCTTGCTTTATTAGGCTTGCAGGCCAAATACAGCTGGACTAAGAGTGGGGAGGGCTGGCACAAGGCTTTTGGTCTTGGGTCAGAGGGGAGTAAGTGATTCTAAGAACAGGATGCTAACAGACCATTAGGAAGAGCAGGGATTAGCAGAGAGAGAAAAAGAAATAATGAGGAGAGAGGTTGACACAAAGATAATCTACATGAATATCTGAGATACAAGGCGTACTGCCCATGGCTGGCTTTTGTGGGCTCCCTACAGTATTTTAAGTGGAGAGCATAATCTTCTACCTTCAGTCTTTCCCCAATATTGGGGAGCAATGTCTGTTACAACTTGAATACCTCTTTAACACCTAACAACTCCAAATACAGCCAGTCTCCCTAACTGGCACTTGTCCATATCCATCCATTCAGATGTGTTCCTCGTTTCCCACCCTACAGGCCTATTGCCTATCCTGGCCATAGCTCAATTCTTAACCTGCTTCCTCCAAACCCCTTTTTCCGGGCCTTAATTCTGGTTATTACTCAAATCTTAGCAAATCTTCCTGACTACCGATCAAGAAATACATGTATTTTTTATTTCAAAGATTAACTTTTAAAAAACACTTTGTTACAGAAAACAATATAAGCAAAAAAACAGTGCTATAATGAATTCTTCTATATCCGTCACCTAACTTCAATTCATAGTTAATCTTGTTTCATGTATCCCTCTTACCGCCTTCCCCACTCCTTTTGTATTTTGAAGCAAATACCTGACATTTCATTTGATCTGTAAATATTTCAGCATTTATCTCTAAAAAAGAAGGACTTTTGAA